AATCTCCCTTGAAGTGCTCCTGGTTTTTAATAATGGATTTTTGGTATGATCCCATGAAAGATTTATGTCCAGATATGAAACAAACACTGCTTTGAACGATTAATTTTAAAATCTAGTTTTCCTACTAGATAATAGGAATTCCCCCTGTGTTTTCTGTTTGTAAGAAGTAAGGAGAACCAGTCTTATGATTTTGAATTCATGATTATGTCTTTGTGGTAAACATGGCATATTTGGAAAGTAGAACAAAGACAATACTCCAAAGGCATCATGCACAAAAATATTTACTTTTTAGAGGCCTAAAAGACCACTTTAAAAATAAGATATTTTATTTAAAATCTGGGGGCATCCGGGTGGCTCTGTCGGTTAAGAGTCTGACTTCGGCTCAGGTCATGATCTCATGGTTTTTGAGTTCGAACCTCACGTTGGGCTCTGTGCTGACAGCTTAGAGCCTGAAGCCTGCTTCAGATTCTGTGTCTCCCCCTCTCTCTGCCCCTCTCCCACTCACACTCTGTCTCTATCTCAAAAATAAACATTAAAAATTAAAATCTATATGAAATAAATGCAATAATATTTAATATATCTACAGTATGAAAACTTTGACTTTTTAAAATCAGTTTTAAAAAGAGTCAGATATTTATTATATTCTATACCTGAGCCATCATTATTCACAAAATTAACAATCCAAATATTACAATTTATTTCCTAAATGCACAAAAAGTTAAAAGTATTAGAACAAAAAATACATCATATTTTTAAGAAACTAACTGCTTTAAAATTCGTTATCTGTAAAAACATGTCAGCACAATGATGTTTTATGTGAGATATCCAGGAATAGATAATTATACAATCATTACTCAAGAAAAGAATGTGAATTGAATAAGACAGTTTTCTTTTCTCAGAAATATTCATAGCTGGTTTTAATCTAGATATAACACATAACACAAGGCATAAATATTTAACGACTAAACAATAACCTGATTAAACTTTGTTGGTTTTTTTTCTTCCTCTACCAGACATTCAATCCTGTTTTTGCATCTTAAATAAAATAAGGAGAAAAAACAATGTGGTTTCTTAAAGAAATGAGGTCATTTAAAAAGTGTTATTTTCTTGTTATACTTGGAAGCACACAAATGTCTATTCATTTATTGTTAGAGTGAATTACACGTATACATTTTATGTTCAAACACACACTATAAGTAGTAATTGTATGAAACTATAAAAATTCTTCTGAAATGGCAAAGCTGAAGTAAATAGTTGTCATTTGATACTCATTCCTGATGATTTCTCATTAAAATGAAATGGCAAATCTGACAAAACAATAAGAGGAACATAAAATGAGTGACTCTTTATTCATGTAATAATTGATTACTATTGTGACAACATCCCACCTTCTTCACATGGTTGTGAAAAGGTTTCACTTTAAATTAATTGGCATCTCCGTGAAATAAATTACTTGACTGTGTCGTTGGGAAGCAAATCAGGCCCACATTAGATATAATTGAGGTGAAACTGTTATATAGGAATTGTGTGGGTGAAGGCTGGAGATTGAATTTTTCCATAGGAAAAAAAATGTGAGAAAGGCTAATGATACTGAGACCAAATTGTTTTTATTTTTAAACAGAATTTTCTTCTCCTTCTCCTTCTTCTCCTTCTCCTTCTCCTTCTCCTTCTCCTTCTCCTTCTCCTTTTCCTTCTTCTCTTCTCCTTCTTCTTTCTTTTGTTTAGAATGCAGAGGTTTTTTGGTTTGGTTTAGTTCAGTTTCAGTTTTTCAACAATGATTCATATTGATTGCTTATGTTAGGACATACATAATTGGGAAGATTAGCTGACCAGCATCCACTTAAACAAAAGGAAGTCAAATCAATCTAAATTTCAAGTCCAAAGAAATAGACTTGAAAGTTTCTTGAATTTTCAATTAAGAAATCTAGTCTTTTCTCCAGATTTATGAGCCAGAGTGCTACTATTGTTTAAAAGCCGAGATGATACTAAGTTTATAAGAAAGGGTATCATAAAAGGAAACAGAAAATTTTTTTCTCTGCCTTTATTATACCAAAAGTAGTCTCATCGGAAATACTACAGACACACACACACTAGTTACTGCACCACAAAAAATTAGGAAAACTCTAGAGAAAAGTAAAGCAATGAAGGTGAGTAGAGTGAATTCTGTATATAGATAAACTAAAAAAAAAGCTTGGGAAGATAAAGTTTGACACTAGCTCATTTTTGCAATGCCCTAAAAGTTTTAGATTTTTACAATATATAGTATTAATAAAAAAAATCTGTTGATTTTATTTTTAGGCTGAAATAGATCCTTTTTAGGCAAATACAAGAAACCATATTTGCATAAAATTATAAGATTAAGTAATCATTATTAACGAATTCTTGCTATTTGATACTCAAATAAATTTGAAAGGATTTTGAATAAATTCATGGATTTTAGATCCACAATGGGTTGTTAAAGGAGTTAGGATTTTTTTAGGAATATATAATTTAGTTTGTTTACATCTGATCTAATGGAAGTCAAACATAATTGCTTTAAAATATATTCTGTAGGAACTGTCAGAAAGTAGAAAACATTGTGCCTGAGAAAACTCTTAAATTTGAAGGTTACATCTATATCAATATCTTGTAATTTTATTACTATTCTGCTCAGCTTAGTTTTTAATAGAAGCACTTCATTTCTTAAAGCCAATGACATATTTTTAGAAAATGACATTACACAATCATTGAATATTTAAATATTTTACCAGGAATGTGAATGTTGTTATCATTTTTTGCAAGTTAATCTTTTTTATTTAAAAATTCCAGTCATAATATCACTCATCAATGGTAACTGATGAAATCAAATAACATATGGAATGAAAGAGACATAAATAGAGCCACATGTGGAAGTTATACATCTGATATTTTACTGAAAATTGTCACTACCGACTGTTCCAAAAACCTGATTTTTTTATTCCAAACATATGCAATTGTTCCTTTTTCTGTCCCATCCCAATTATAGCTTGGGATGGAGAATGAGTGGGGGAAATGAGAGGAAAGCATGGCTATTTAAGGCCTTTGGTTGAGATATAATACTGGTCCTGCAGTTCCGAATTTTTCAACAAATTGTTTTGACACCTAGTGTATTTTTGCTCATTACCAATCATCTTCTACTTCTCTAGTTCTATAAGTTTGATTTGTGGCTTCCTATGCATTGTTAGAGAAAACCTAAGAGGCAGTCATTCAACATGAAATCTTACTCTGTGATAACAAGAAAAGTTGCAAACAGTATAAAAAAGCAATTTGAATATTCAGTGGAAGGAAGAGTGCCTGGGTATTTGAGGATTTGTAGTAATTTAGATTCCCTGGCCTCAGCACAGTTCTAACAGGGAAGGAGTCTACACTGCTTCTGCAGGGACAAGAGCCAATATGGCGCTGTGGGAGAGAAGCACTGTTCTCACGGGCTCTGCCACTTACCAGCTGTGTTATTAGAGGAAATAACTGAGATCTCGTGTTTTTTGTGTGTGTCTAAGAGGAAGGATGTGATTTTAGTTTCTAAGTTTCCTTCTAATTTTTAAAATGTTTTCCATCTCTGGGAATAATTTTTTTTTTTCTCCCTGGAAATAATTTTTAAGTTTCCTATTTAAATAGAGACTAGATTAAGGTTGGAACTTTCAGAATAAATGATGAAAAGTGTGTAACCATGTTCCACTAAGTGCACCTTTAAGATGCACTGAATACTTTACAATCAGTTTTTATTATGCTTTCCTTTAAAGAATTTGCAAATGTACAGGGAATATTCCATTCACACGTGCTTAAATGTTTACTTTTCATGACAAATAGAAGACAAAATTTTGTCTGTCAAATGAATACTTTGTGGAAACACGAAGTTAGTCATGCTATTTGCCCTCCATTTTAAATGTTCAAATAATCTCCAAATTGGAGTTATTAACAAAAATAAATAAATCTTTGCAAATAAAATGGAAACAGAAGATTTTTCTTGAATCTTTATAGCTTCTTGTCTTGACATAAAATTATTCATACTTATTCATATTTATGTATAGAAAGAAACAGTTTTAGGAATATCTCAAAAAATGCATTTTGAAAATTTCTTTGAGTTCCATAAACAAGTTCCAGTACTGAATGAGTGAATAGATGCTTAAGTCCCTAATTTGGGTAGATAATGTTGCAATATATATATATATATATATATATATATATATATATATATATATTTTTTATTTTGTGGCACAGTTACTACTATGCAGTTCATTCTATAAGGACTTATCTGTCCATTCATCCATTTTATTTCTCCTCTTTCCTTATATCCTTACAAATCTAAGAAAATCAGTCCTCTGTGCCCTCAAGACCTTTTCTACACATATGCCTATATGCTGCCATTGAATTGAACCAATTGATATATTTTGACAAAGTTAGATCCATGGTGTCATTATCTATATATGCACACATTCTTGCAGTTTTCTTTTTAATTAATCTAACAGCCATAACACACATTGTTATGTGGCAAATCTTGATTGAAAGGAAATAGTTGAATGCACTAAGTGGAGGGTTGTGTTTTGGTTCAGAATTTCTCTTTTTACAGAAGGTTTTGAATAATGTAAATGGAATTTAAAATCACATATATGGTGCTAAACAAGCTCACACTCAGCAACACAAAGATATATAGTTCTTGAATTCATAATGTCATGAGAATATTCACTTATGATTTAAGAGTATATTACATCTCTATTAACTCCTTTTTATTCTCCTGGTAGGAGATTTTTAAGTACCTGATAAAATGAATAATTCTAAACAAATGACTTAAAAATTCAAGCTTTACATATTAAAAAAAGTATTCTTCTGGAGTAAAAAAATGTTTTCTAAACCCTAAAAGAAACATATTGTTTTTGTGTATTTAAAACATTTTAGCCTTGAGTATAGCGATTAAAGGTTGATCTCTCCTGTCATTTGATTCTCCCCAAATTTTAACTTCATTACTGGTTTATCATTAACCTTTTTTACAAAAAAGGAAACCATTTTTTATGATTTCCAACTTGCGTGCCATTTACCAGTTTCTTATAAATCTCTGACTTTAGAAATCGAGGAAAAGAATCCTTGGCCATAAGACTATAGATTAACTTCTGAGCCTCATCAAAACATTTGAGAGTTGGTTCTGCAATATTCTTTGAGATGAGGTCTCTGGTACTGAAGTCAATGTTGATCTGTGGAAATAAGTTTGCATATAATTACATTAGTTTAATCAAGGAATACATGGTTTATACAGATGGTAGATACACATATTATATAATTTCTTTTCTAAACACAAAGTTAATCTGATGCAAAACAGCAGAAAGGTCATACATTTATTTTTTGTAGTGTAGAACACATGTTTGGTTTAATTATATTTCCTAGGTTGAGAGGGTTGGCATTGACAGAGAACACAGATAAAGCCTTATTTTGAGATTATAAACAAAAATGGGACGGTGAAAAATCAAACAAGATATTTCATGTTTTTAAATTTTTTTTTCCGCAAATCCTTTTCCCTTAGTACTTTGACCCTAATACTTACAATGTACTCTCCATAGACAGAACAATAAATAGAACTTACTAGATTGGCTTCTACCAACCCATCCTCATTTTCATACTTCCCCTTGTTGTTTTCCCACACATCATTGCTTTTCATTCTGATTTGTGTTTCTTTTTGTTTGCCAAAATAAAGCAAATAATATCCCCCTCTTCACTGACTCCCATGCCTTCCACAGAATAGATCTATATGTGTATGCGTGTGTATGTGTGTGTGTGTGTGTGTGTATCCCTGTCCCCATACCATTACTATACATGAGTATTCCCAGCAAGATCTAATAGAGATCTATTATAGTAGACACACCATTCATCTGAAAATTTGTAAAATGCCCTAAACCTTCTTGTCAAGATAGATACTTTTCCAACTCTACACAAATTCCAGGGTATATTCTGTGAAGCAGAAAATTTCATATCCAAGTTTTCTAATTTAAATGGAAAATATTCATGAAATGCAAAAGAGATTTGAATCATAGATTTAAAAACATGAAAGGCAGGTGCTGTATCTGTCTTATTCATCTTTCTATTTTCTGGTCTTTAGCAGAATATCTACCATATAATAAGAAATCAATAAATATTAGTTGAATAGAGTTAAAGTGTTTCTTGGCAAAATGGAAGAGATTACAAAAATGCCATAATTTGGGGGTCTGGTAAAAGAAAGACTATAAATGATAATTTTTGCTTATTAAATGGAGGTTAAAAGAGGAGGACATACCTATAATCAAACCTTTCCTCAGCTACTTACTTGCTATTCATTTGAATGAAGTAAGTTCTATCATTTCTTTTAATGTTCGATTTCCATGGTATAAAAGGGAATAGGAATAGCATCTATCTTAAACTGTTTCAAGGACTAAATGAGATAAGTAATATCAAATTATTTTAATATTGTTGCTCCAGGAAGAAAAAAAGAAGAAAAACTTTTAATTTGAAAAGAATCATGAAAAGGCCACTATTTGTTCACAGATGTTCTTTGTTGAGAGACTTCAGCTACTCAGTGATCCCACATCTGCACTTTTATTTCTCTGATCATCCTTTTCCATCATCCATCAAAGTCTCAGGTTCAATGCTGCAACTTCCTGAAGACCTCAAAAGCTGGAATCAATTTCTTCTTCGTTATACAGGAAGATGGTACAGGACAGTGGAAAGACTTTGGGATAATTTTCTCATCTGTGTTCTAACACTTAGGACCTTGGTGACCAGAGGAGAGTTATTTTAATATTTCTGAGCTCTACTTCCTCATGTTTAAGCTAGATAGTTCTTAACTGAGTTGTTACAAGGAATAAAACGAAATGATCCATATATTCACTGATTTGACAAATATTTATGAGTATCTATTATGTAAAAATGCTTTCTATACTTGGGAAAAGATAACCAACAACTAAATAAATAGCATTATTTTAGATTTAAACTTGAATGATGAGAAGAAGCGAGTCTTCTAAGGATCTGGGGCAAAACATTTCTGGCAGAAAAAAAAAAAAAAACAATGAAAGCAAAGTCCCTGATGCAAGAATTTGTTATGTTCTGAAAAGCTGCTATGCCTGGATGGCTGGAGTATAGAGTGTGACAAAGAAAGTTCCTGTAATGAGAGTTGCCTACGAGTCTTGTAGGGCTTATGTGAAGTGTAAAGAGTTCTTATTTTTCTGCTAGAAGCACTAGGAAGACCCTGAAGAATTCTGAGGAGGGAAGTGGCATGATGCCATGTCGTGAACCTAGTATACCGCCTGCCTCATAGTGGGGATCAGTAAATAGTGGCTGACGTCAAGCTCTTGCAGTGGTTTTTAAACATCTAGGGTATTCTGTTTCATCAATCCTATCTTGTGTTGTGGGGATGTGAGGATAAATATTGCCTGTTCCCTCCCCTAGCCATGCTGTTAATTGTTTAATGGCATCATCTGCAATTTGTTTAACTTTGTATCCCCCATAATAGTAAATATAGCAATTCGGCTCACTGAGGCATTCATTCATTGGGTGAGTTTTCACTGACAGCAGGGCTGGTGCGTGCCTGGTACACAGTGCTGGCTTATTATTATTTTCATCAGAACTGAACACTTGCAGTAACTCCCCATTTCCTATTTGAAAACTCCAAAGCCTTGATTTCGGCATTCATGGACTTTACAACATAGTCCTACCTGATACAATTTTTTCTCCTCTAGGTGTGCCCTGTATTTCTACCAAGCTGGACACTTCCTTTCAAATTCCTTTTATTTTCCCACCTACAAACATTTTCTTTCATACCATCCTCGTCTAGCTGAAAGTCACTCCTTTCACCATCTTCTATGTCTGTAAGGCTACATTCAAGTAATATCCACCCTATGTCACTTAGGCTATATTTACATTTTGTGCATCCCTCTCTATGCCTTGAGCCATGTAAGGACTCAATAAATATGTACTGAATAAATAAAGTAAAAAAAAAGTTTCTATATCTGTTAAAAATCATGTTTGAATTTTGAAGAAAACTATTCCACTTCAGCATAATACCAATAATTAATGTTATTTATTAAAATAGGTTAAAATTGTTCTTCTGACTTATCTCTCTTATTTTTCTGACTTGTCTGTTTTCCTACCAAGGAGCTGCCAACATCAGCTATGATAGCTGAGTGATGAGCAGATATACTAATCCCAGGAGATAATTAGTAGTCTTAAGAGACTGTGTCTTGGCAATTCAGCTTAATGTCAGTGACAAAACATCACACCCACATGTTTGTATAAATGTCATTATTTTCCTCCAAGTTCTTCAAGCTCAAAACATAGGAGTCATCTCTGACATTTCTTTTTTCTCTGATCTCTATTTTCCCCCCTCATTTGCCTTTTCTTTTGTAATTTTGTAATGGTCCTTTTCACTCATATTTCTCCAGTTTAGTCTTTTATAATGGAATTTCTTTCCTAAATTATGAAATTTACCTCTAAGTCTGATACCTCTTCTTATAATGTCTTTTCTTTCCCTCCTGAACATGTGAAAGCATAACTACACCAGTTTCACCAAAATATCACTTTAATTGCACGAATATTCAGCTGAAAACCCATTATTTTTAGTAACATAAGCTTTACATATCTTACCTTGGCATTTGAACTTCCTCACACCCAGAGTCCAATGCGCTGTTTCAAAATCTCCTACTTGTCCTTAGCAATATCTATAAAACTGGTCTACTTTCTGTTCCTGAAGGAAGTCTTGTACCTAAAGCTCTTATTTATGCTGTTTTCAGCATCTAAGATCTCTTTCACCCCCACGATTTTATTCCATATAGATTTTCCTTATCTTTTATGATTTAGCTTAAGTTGAATGTCCTCTGGGAAGCCTTCCTTACCCACAGAAGGAAAGTCACTATAATTTCCTTATCATTACACACTATTTTGATTTAAAGTTTTTAAGATATTTGATTTCTTGATTAAACAGATTTAGATACAAAGGCTTCTGTTAATATTAAGTATCCAATCTGATTATCAGAGAAAACAGATTTGTCACTACAAAGAGAATTCAATAGTTCATCACATGGAACTAACTCTTTTTGTATCTGTTGTTTTTTCCCTATTTATTTTGCTAATTCCCTTTTTCTTTGCATGCCCCCAAAATATGCATTCTTTCATCTATACAAAGTCTTCTCTCCCTAGATGTTTTCCTTGATTACTCTGTTTTCATCCCTGGCAAAATATTTGGACACTGGCATTATCTCTAAAATAATCATAATGATATTTAAATACGATTATTTTAACTGTAAATAATAATTGTTGCTATTTATTAAATATTAGTACTGATATACTAAGTCTTTATATGGCTGTCTTATGTCACGTGCACACAACTATAAGATATACAGTATTATTATCCCCATTTTTCTGAGGGTAAAAACTAATATATATCTGAAAAAGTAGGCATTTCATTTGTAATCTTTCCTAGAACTTATTTCTCTGAAATATTTTATTGAGTGGGTGCTTAGAAGTTGTGTGAAAGATCTGAAGAGGTGATTAAAGTGAAAAGTCCATCAAGAAGACAGATTTTGAAAAGGCAGTTCAAAGGAAATGAGATTTTAAGCAAATCTTTGAAGTGCTGTCATGAATAGAGATTAAGAAAGGTAATTGCAGATGGGTGGGTAAGCCAGAAGAAGCCTGGTGGGGTTTGAGAGGAGGAAAGACAAGAACCTGGAGAGGCATGAAGGCACCAGATTATGTGGGACCTTGTAGTTCTCATGAAAGAATTCTTAACCTGAGAGCAAGGAGGAGAATTTTAAGTAAAGGGGTGATGTACAAACATGTTTGGAAAACAACAACAACAAAAAAACATGTCACTGGTTGCCATGTGGTGTGATAGCTGGGTGTGTTTAAAAGGACGAAAAATGAAAAAAAAATATCAGAAGTTCAGGTGGTCGGTGATGGTGAATTCAACTATGTAATTAGTGGGACATGCACATATTTTAAAGATATCTAGAAGGTAGAGTGGGTGGAGCTTGTGATTGAATAGTGAGCTGGGATGAGGGACAAAATCTTTAAGAATGGCTGGATTTTAACAATATTCTGAAGAATGAGGTGATAGAAAGTGTTGATGGATTGGACATGGGGTGTGAGTGGAAGAGAAGAATCAAGGATGACTACCAATTATTTCACCAGAGCAAACAGAAGAACAGAGTTGCTATTAACTAAGATTGGGAGA